AGGAGGATGTGGAGGAGGCGGAGGAGGAGCAGGAGGTGGAGGAGGAGGAGGCGGAGGACGTGGATGCGGAGGTGGAGGAGGAGGCGGCGGATGCGGATGAGGAGGAGGATCATGATGATGATGATGAGGAGGAGGAGGAGGAGGATGAAGAGGAGGAGGAGGAGGAGGAAGAGGATGCGGAGGCGGAGGAGGGGGAGGCGGATGATGATGAGGAGGAGGAGGAGGAATAATAATAGGAGGAGGAGGAGCAGGAACAGGAGTAGGAGGAGGAGGAGGGTGATGATGATGATGATGATGATGATGATGATGATGATGATGATGATGATGATGATGATGATGATGCTGATGATGATGATGATGATGATGATGAGGAGGAGGAGGAGGAGGAGGAGGAGGAGTTGGTCCCCTGCCTCCGTCTCCGAGGGAGGATCGACTGTTTTCCTTTGGCACACACCTCTGAAAGGAGGAGGAGGAAGTAGAAGAGGAGGAGGAAGAGCCCTAGACCGCCCAATAGATCGTGGCGCGTCCTGTAGCCACTTGGAGCCGTCTTGGGACGGTCGTGGCGCCTCTCGTGACGCTGTCTTGAGCTATCTCAGGCTGTCCTGTGCGATACTGGAGGCCCTCTTTGGCTATCTTTGGCCCTCTTGGGGCGATCCTGGACAAGCTTTCTGCTCCAACGAGTCCTTCATGCCAGGAGGTGCAGGGAGCGATGGGGGAGGGGGATGAGGGCGCGGAGGGCGCGGGGGCGGACGGTGAGGCCGTGGAGGGCGCGAGGGGGAAGGAGGTGGAGAGGACGTGGGCGGGGAGGGCGAACGGTGAGGAGGCAGGCGAGGAGGCTGTGTAGGAAGAGGACAGGAAGAGGAGCAGGGGGAGGGGGCGGCGGATGAAATGGAGGCGGGGAAAGGCAGGGAGGGAGAAGGATTCGAGGAGGGAAAAGTACGCAGAGTGAGAAGCAGAAGCATGAGGGGAGTGGCAATGGGAGAGGGATTGTGAGATCGCACCAGTTCGGGCGGAGTGTCCGTCTGGGCGCGCGCGTTAATCGCTCTAGCCGCGCCCACCTCGTTTGGCGAGAGGTGCCACTTGTGCAAAGCAGGGGACGGGGTATCCTCTCCCCTGGAGCGGTCTGCAGTAGAAATAAAGGCGAGGCTCGTCCCCTTGCACGCCCAAGCCTGCCTCCTCCCTCCCCGAGGGCGAGTCGAGGAGCGACGTGGTCGACGAGATGCCGCAGGATATGGCGCCTCCCGTGGCCCCCGGCGCCCAGCAGCGGGGCCTCCGGGAGCTTCCGGACGCGCTGAGTGCGCGGATCTTCACTCGTTCTCGCCTCGGAGCCGCCTCAGCTCGCTCCCTCGAGAGCTTGGGCGTGGAGTGTGCCCCGGAGCAGCTCGCGTCCGTCCTCGCGTTCAGGGAGAAGGAGCCCTCCATCCGGGGTGGAGAATGCTGCTGCTGCCCAGGCTGTGGCGTCAGCGTCGAGGCCTGGGCCCCTGCTGGGTCTGCTCGAAGCGCTCCACCGCCTCCCTGGAGTGAGTCTGGGCCTCAGCGGGGCCTCGACAGCGCTCCAGGCCGAGATGGAGACGGAGGAGGCCATGTCCGTGGTCGGGCAGCTGCTGATCTTCGGAGCCCGTCGCTCCTCCGCCGACTCGTGGATCAGCAACGCTGCGGCGGCCTTGGCGCCTGCGCGTGCGGTCTGCTCGGGCGCGGAGTCGGAGACGGCTGCTGGCTCTGGAGCGGCGGCGGCTGGCCCTCGCCCCCTGCCAGCGTCGGTGAGCGCCGCGCGGGCGCGAGCCCGCGGTCTGGCGGCTGGTGTGGCCGCAGGAGGTGGACCCCAGGCCGAGGGCCAGCGCGAGGTGTGGTGTTGACCGCTGCCTCGGGGGCCGGGGGTCCTGCCTGCGGGCCGTGCGAGCACTGTTTGGGCTCGCTGCGCATGTTCAATTCAACACGGGCTCGCCCGCGAAGTGATAAAGCAATGCCCTCACCGTGCCAAGTCTGGTAGCGCTGTGATGCAGAGTCGTGGTGCTGGTAGGGCAGGAAGTCCCCTGGCCGGGGTCAGCCGAATGACTCGCGGCCGTGAGGCGCTGCGTGGCGCGACTCCGCTCGGTTGCCTGTAAACTGGCGTCAGTCGGATACCTTCACTCTGATTGGTGGTGCTGAGGCTGTGAGGCCGTGGTGCCGTCGCCCAGGTCTCATCACCTACAGTTGAGTTGGCAGTGCTGGCAGTGCCGACCGCGCCTGGTGGCGGGTGGCTGGGCTGCCTTGGCGTGAGCTGGACACGTTCTTTGGCCGCCTCATCCCCGCATGGTGGCGGGTGCGCGGGCTGCTTTGGTGTTCGCCTCGCCCGGTCGGCCCAGCGAAGTGCGTTGCGTTGAGGGTCTGTAGGTGCGGCGGCACTGTCCAGCCCGTCGGGCTTGGGCGACGGTGCTGGCCCTGCCCAGGGGCCCGGTCCGCGACTCGTCGCCGGCCCCGCGCGTGCCTTCCCTGCGGTCGCAGGCTCCGAGGGCGGGGGCCTGGTGGTCGCCCGCCTGCAGAGGCACGGCCGCCTGCCTCCCAGGCGGCGGGGAGGGCCAGGGAGCTACGGTGGGGGAGGAGCTGCGCTTCGAGTGGCCGTTCCCCCTGTGAAGCTTGCGAGGTGGGCGGCCCGACGCCCCGGGCAGCTTCCCGGTGTGGCTCCCCGCGTCCAGGAGGCATTGCGTGCCGTCCCGGCTCGCTCCCGCCGGCGTGGCGAACGTCGTGCAGCCCAGCCTCGCACTGCTCGACGTGCCGAGCCGCCCCGCGCCCGCCTCCGCGGTGTTCTCGGCGGGGTCGTGCCGGCGCTGCCGCAGCTCTCCCGGGGGGCGGCCTGGCGACCGGGGGCGGGGTCCTGGTGGCCACCCGCTGCCAGAGGCTTGATCGCCCTGTGCCTTCTCGCGCGCGGGGAGGGCGCGGGGGGGGGAGGGGAGGGGGGAGGGCAAGATGGGCTGAGCTACGTTCCGTGTGGTCGAGCCCCCATGGCGGATGCATGGTGGGCGGCCTGGGTCGGGGTCCGGGCCCCCCCCCCCCCCGCCACCAGAAGCGTCCTGCGCCGTCTTGTCACGCTTCCAGCGTCGTGGTGCACAGCGTGCTGCCCCGTCGCACTGTCCAGCGTCCCGCCCCGTGGTGCGAAGCATGGTGCGTGAGTGCGTCGCGGTGAGTGCCGTGATGTTGCCCGTGCATCCTGGGAAGGAGGGTTGCCATGTCGGCCCCATCTTATTTCTTCCGTCGAGCTCAGGGGGGGGCGCCGCGAGGAGCTCAGCAGTCCTGGCGATGAACCGCAAGGTCGCGGACGTCGCCGGTCGGACTCGAACCACCAACCGGTGTGTGGGTATCCGTGACACCACCTCTCACGCGCAGCAGTCGAAGGCCTTGTTAGATCTGTCGGAGTTCATTGGGAGGGAGCCCCTGCAGACCATGCCACCGTTGTCACTGATTGCACACCGGTTTACGCGAAGCGTGAGGCGGCGAAAATCCGGTGGAAGTGCATCGACACAGATGGTTGCGTGGAGTGGATGAGAGCACATTGTCCTTCTTCTTTCTGCGATCTCGAGGGGTTCCACGCTTTCTTGATTGAGGCCCAGACCGTTTGGGGCGACCGTCGCTCCTGCGCAGCCCGGAGGGCCAGCAGAGTCCCACCTCAGCTCCGCGAGTTGTATGCGCAGATCGCGAATACGACAACTGAGCACGAACGGAAGAGATTACAAACGTCAGCGTGGAACTATTTAAAGCAATGGATTGCTGACTGCACTGTCGCACGAGCTACGGAGAATGTAAAGCAGGGCCGCGTACTCGAGAAGGCGAAGAAACTACATACTGTCAAGGCGCTGATATTGCCGAGGAAGGGGGAAACCAAACCGTCGCGGATGAGGATTCTTGGCATGAGCCAGTCAGGACGCAGTTTTCTGACAAATGGGGCGCTTCGCAAGAGCAATCCAGGTTGCGGCTCACGGACTTTATCCTTCAGTCGGAGGGTGGTTCTTTATCCGTTTCTGGGGACATGCTGGCCGCTGCGTGCAAGACGCCGGCCAACAGAGCGAAGCTGGACCATTATGGGGTGTCAGTGGAGGTCATAAGACTCTTGGTCACCGCCTGCCCCTCGATTGCATCCAGGTTCTTCGAAGCACTACTGGGGTCTTCCCCACTCATGGCCAGCATTCAGATTCAGGGTAAAGTTTTTGGCAAAGAGTCTTCTGCCACGCCGCCGTCTCAGACCAGGGCCATCCTTCCTCTACCATCGATTTTACAGATATGTGATTGTCTACTGGCGGCCGCCCTCAATCCCATCATTGACAGTGCCTGCCCGCACCGTGCCGGCACGTTCGTGGGAGCACGGCCCCGCACCCAAGTTCTCGGTATCGCCCATGGGCTACACCTGGTCATTGAGAAGGCCCTGGATGGTCACAGCCGGGGAGCGATCGCCCAACAAGACATTGAGAAGTATTACGACAGCATCGTTTTGATACTCGTTGCGGAGTGGTTGGTGAACAACGGGGCTTCGCATGCACTGGCGGCGTGCGCACTCAGGCAGCAGATGCTTCCAATGGTCCAGCTAGGCTTGGGCAGTCTATCGATTCCAATCCCGCAGCGTTCAAGGGGCTCTCTCACTGGGTCCAGGGTAGCTGGTGCAATGGGCCGCGTGCCGGTCGAGAGCACGATACGCGAGAGACATCAAGTTTGGCCGAGACATGGCTTTCAAGCTGCAGGGTGCCGGCTCACTGTTGCTACGTATGTCGACAACATCTTCTCCGCAGGCGCTTCGCTCAACGTGGCGATCAATATTTTGGAAGATTTTGAAGCTCAGTTGGAATCGGTGTGGGACCTCAAGATCAAGCCTTCCAGTAGGACATGCCTCGTGCCACGAGGCAGCATGGAGGCGCCGCACGATGTAGAAAAGTGGCCACTCAGTGCTGAATTCTCTGCTTTGGAACATACACTTCAAGACAATGGCTCCACTCAGACGTGTTGGCAACGGACGTCGAGATCGATGTGGAAAGCGTACTTCGGGAACTGCGCCTCCAAGGTCGCTGTGAAGATGCCCATGGGTCTCCGGTGCACCCTCATGGACCGATCTGTGCTGCCTATCATGCAACATCGCGATACACGGTGGCCGCCGACCGCCTTGAGGCAAATGCAAATCGACACGGTTCAAAGGAATATGGTCAGCTCCATCATGCGGCTCCATCATGCGGCTCAGCCCACATGCCCATGAGGGCCCGGTGGAATATGTGCGAAGAAGAAACAGACACGCTACGACAATTATGAGCCAGAAAGGAAGATGTAGCATGAAGCATTGCAAGCGAGTGGTCGATTGGAGTGAGCACTTGCAGAGGCCCCGGAATAGTAACTCATGGGCCGCCATTCTCCTGCAGTTTCGTGACTCCGAGTGGCTCCAGGCCCAGCGGCTGTACAATAGTGCTGGTTCCGAGGGCCGCACGCGCACCCGTGCCTTCCGCGGTTTCGTCGCGATGCGATGGCAGGACGGAGCTACACTTGCAGCGCAGCGGTGCTCTCGCTGAGCGTTGTCTTGTGAATCAGTTCTTGTGAATGGTGTCTTCGTGTGGCCAATGCGCTGCCGAGCTTTTGGGCTGATATCGCCCCAACTGTACTGTACTGAGCAGTCGAAGGAGTACCTGCCAAAACTGAGCAGGCCATGCCCGGGGTCCACATACCATCGCCACTGCTAAGCCTGAGGCTGTGGCCCCGTCGCTCCCTCGGGCGCTGGCGCCGCTGCTCCGCCCGCCGCCGCCCTCTGCTCCAGCAGCTGCCGGGCGCGCCGTGCCTTCTCGCATGCCGCATGCCGGCAGCGGGGGCCTTGGGTTTTGAGGGGGGCTTGGCCGCCGCAGCCGCACCACCCCTCCTCCTCCTCCTCCTCCTCCTCCTCTTCCTCCTCCTCCTCCTCCTCCTCCTCCTCCTCCCTCCTCCCTCCTCCCTCCTCCCTCCTCCTCCTCCCCTCCCTCCTCCCTCCTCCCTCCTCCCTCCTCCCTCTATCAATCATCCACCATCACCATCACCATCACCATCACCATCATCATCATCATCATCATCATCACCATCATCATCATCATCATCAGCATCATCAGCATCATCAGCATCATCAGCATCATCAACATCATCATCATCATCGCCATCATCGTCATCACCATCATCATCAGCAGCAGCATCATCATCACCAGCAGCATGATCAGCATCATCATCATCATCATCATCATCATCATCTTCGTCGTTGTCGTCATCATCATCATCATCATCATCATCATCATCATCATCATCATCATCATCCGTTTCAGCACACGTTTCGTGACCCCATAGGGAGTCCCATCGAAGGTCCCAGTGCTACCGTCCGCATGCGTCCCCCCACCCAGTGCAGCGTTTCATGGCCCCACAGGGAGCCCCACCGAAGGTCCCAGTGCTGCCGTCCTCATGCGTGCCCCCCACCCAGTGCAGCTTTTCGTGGCCCCATAGGGAGCTCCACCGAAGGTCCCAGTGCTACCGTCCGCATGCGTCCCCCCTCCTAAGTGCTACCGTCCGCGTGCGTCCCCTCCACGCAGTACACCGCTTCGTGGCCCCATAGGGAGCTTTACCGAAGCCCCCAGTGCGCATGCGTCCCACACCCCCAATTTGACATTTCCACCCGCCCAGTACAGCGCTTTTGTGGCCCATACGGAGCTCCTCCGGAGCCCTGGGACCGCCCGCGTGCGTCCAAACAACATATAATTTGGCATGTCCACCCACCCAGTACGTCGTTTCGTGGCTCCACAGGAAGCTCCACCGAAGCCCTCAGTGAGACGGCCCGCATGCGTCCCACACCTCCAAGTCAGCATTTTCGCCCACCCAGTACAGCGTTTCGTGGCCCCATAAGGAGCTCCACCGAAGCCCCCAGTGGTGCCGCCCGCATGCGTCCAAAAAATAATTTGGCATCCCCACCCACCAAGTACAGCGTTTCGTGGCCCCATAGGGAGCTCCACCGACGGCCTCATTGTTACCCCCCGCATGCGTTCCACCTTCAATCTGGCATTTCCACCCACCCAGTACAGCGTTTCGCTGCCCCATAGGGAGCTCCACCGACGGCCCCAGTGCTACCGCCCGCACGCGTTCCCCCCCCCACCCAGTGCAGCGCTTCGTGGCCCCAGAAGGAACTTCACCGAAGAAAATATTCACAATTGCGGTACCCACAACTGCACATGGTTGGGTCCTTTGCCAGGCTACTTTTACGACGCGATCATGTCTGGGCCACGCAAGATTCTTTTACGCAGCCGCACATCTCGCAAGTGCTCGTGGACTGCCCACCGTCGGTCATGGCACTGCATAGTGGGCCTGTTTTCCACCACCTCCACAACGATAAGCTGGAGGGGGGAAGGATGTGCGGCATTAGGGGGAGGAAGGAGAGGAGGAGGAAGAGGAGGAGGAGGAGGAGGAGGAGGACCCCCACCCCCTCCTATTTGTGGTGGTGGCGGTAGAAAACAAGCCCACCACTGCAGCCGCACTCCGGGAGTA